AATATAAATTAGTTAAATTTACCCAGTAATAGATGTAGACTACCAGATTAAATTAAAAACAAAACAAAAGTCAAGTCTGGTGCTTGCTTCGGCAGCACATATACTAAAATTGGAACAATACAAAGAAGATTAGCATGGCCCCTGCACAAGGATGACACACAAATTCATGAAGCGTTCCATAGTTTTGAGAAGATATTTGCAAGTTATGTCTCTGACAAAGGATTAATAACCAGAATCTATAGAGAACTCAAACATAGTAGCAAGAAAAGAACAAGTGATCCCATCTCAGGGTGGGCAAGGGATTTGAAGAGAAACTTCTCTGATGAAGACAGGCTCATGGCCTACAGACACATGAAAAAATGCTCATCATCCTTAATCATCAGAGAAATGCAAATCAAAACTACTTTGACATATCATCTAACTCCAGTAAGATTGGCCCACAAACACAAAATCCCCAAACCAGAGATGTTGGTGTGGATGTGGAGAAAAGGGAACACTTCTACACTGCTGCTGGGAATGCGAACTAATACGTTCCTTTTGGAAAGAAGTTTGGAGAACACTTAGAGATCTAAAAATAGACCTGCCATTTGATCCTACAATTCTTGTACTAGGTATATATCCAGAAGGCCAAAAATCACATTATAACAAAGATATTTGTACCAGAATGTTTATTGCAGCCCAATTCATAATTGCTAAGTCATGGAAGAAGCCCAAGTGCCCATCGACCCACCAATGGATCAATAAATTGTGGTATATGTACACCATGGAATATTATGCAGCCTTAAAGAAAGATGGAGACTTTACCTCTTACATGTTTACATGGATAGAGCTAGAACATATTCTTCTTAGCAAAGTATCTCAAGAATGGAAGAAAAAGTATCCAACGTACTCAGTCTTACTATGAAACCAATTTGTAGCTTTCTTATGAAAGCTATAGCCCAATTATAGCCTAAGAAGAAGGGGAAAGGGGGGAGGGGGGAGGCAGGAGGATGGGTGGAGGGAGAGTATTGGTGGGACCACACCTACAGTGCCGCTTACAAGGGTACATGTGGAATTTACTAGGTGTAGAATATAAATGTCTTAACACAATAACTAAGAAAATGCCATGAAGGCTATGTTAGCCAGTTTGATGAAAGCATTTCAAATTGTATATAAAACCAGCACACTGTACCCCACGATTGCATTAATGTACACAGCCATGATTTAATAAAAAAAAAGTCAAGTCTGCTACCTTAATTTATAAGAAAAACTCTTGTTGAGATGACCCAGGTTTTGATATCCCTCTGAACGGAAAGATCTGGAATCTTTAGTGAAACTTGTGAAATTTTCATTTATTATATCTTCCAGTATGGCTTCCTTTCCTTTTAGACGTTCTTCTTCCTCTTCAGGGATACCTATAATTTGTCTATTTGAGTTCTTCACAAAGTCTGGGGACAGGAAGGGACTGTCCTGCAGCTTATTGATTTTGGACTAAATAGCTCCAGTGAGCGGTTTAAACTGCTGAAACTAGTGAGAGGATCAAGCAGCATCCAGTGGTCAGCCACTGCTTGTACTCAAGTATTTGCCTTTTGTACCAGCTCTTCTCAGCTCCAGACCTCCTCATCCACTCCTGGAGTCTATCACTGCTTCACTGTGCCCTCGAAGTAACATCCCTGTGTAAGTTCCCCCAGCTAGAGGTGGCTGAGTTCTAGTTCCCCTGTCTTGCTGTGAGGGGCTAGTAAGGAGCTGTTTTTAATCTGTCATCTTGCTCCTTATAATTCTTTTTGTTTCTGTAATGTCAGTGATGATGTTTCTCTTTCATTCCTGACTTTGATTATTTGATGTTCTTTTTTTCCTTTGGTCAGTATTGCTAAAGTTTTGTCAGTTTTATTGATCTTTTAAAATAACACACTTTGGGTTTCATTGATTTTCTTTATTGTGTTTCTTTTCTCTGTTTTGTCTATTTCTGCTCTGCTGTTTATTCTTTTCTTTTTTTAAAAAGATATTATTTTCTTATTTCAGCTTGCTTTGCTTATACTTTGCTCTTCTTTTGCTGGTTTTTAATGTGGAAGATTGGGTTCTTAATTTGAGATCTTTCCTCTTTCCTAATATAAGTAAGCATTTACAACTATAAATTTTCCTCTGAGTGCTGCCTTAGCTATATCTCATAAATTTTGGTGTGTTGGATTTTCATTCTCATTCATTTCAAAATATTTTCTTTTTTAAAATTTTTTTTTATTTTTTTAATTTCTTATAGCATAACTGTGTACATTAATGCAATCATGGGGTACAGTGTGCTCTTTTCATATACATTTTGAAATACTCTCATCAAACTGGTTAACATAACCTTCATGTCATTTTCTTAGTTATTGAGTTAAGGCATTCATACTCTGCTTTTAGAAAGATTCACTTGTACCCTTGTAAGATAAACCATACAGGTGACCCCACCAATCACCCTCCCTCCCCTCATCCACCCCCCTCACCTCCCCTCTCCCACCCCCTTCCCATATTCTAAGGCTATAATTAGGTTTCACATTCCTATGAAAGCTATGAATTAATTTCAAAATAGGGCTGTGTACATCATCTCAAAAATATTTTCTAATTTCCACTGTGACTTTTTCTTTAACCTATTGGTTATTTAGGAGAATTAATATAGAATTATTAATTTCTATATATTTGTGAATTTCCTAAATTTCTTTTTCCTGTTGATTTCTACTTTCTTTCCATTGCGATTGAAGAATATACTTAGTATGATTCATATTTTTAAAATTTATTGAGATAGGGTGGCACCTGTGGCTCAAAGGAGTAGAGTGCCGGCCCCATATGCCAGAGGTGGCAGGTTCAAATCCAGCCCTGGCCAAAAACTGAAAAAAAAAAAATTTATTGAGATATGTTTTTGTGACTGAATACATATATGGTCTATCTTTGAGAACATTCCTTGTGTACCTTGGTGAGGTACACTTCCTTGTTGGGCATGGTGTTTTATAGATGTATCTTAGGCTTAGTTGGTTTATAGCATGTTCAAGCTTTTTATGTAGAAGTTAATTTTCAAAGGTTGTTATGCCATCATTCTGGAAGTGATTTTTCACTACATTTAACAGAAAATAGCCTTAGTAGTATGTCCTTAAATAAAGAATAAAGATTTTCTTTAGGTTGATAACATAGGCAATAATGAACCCTGACTGGTTTAGATTCTCTCCTAAAGATTAGTTCATTCCTCCTCATTAATGACCTCGGGACGTCTGCTGGTACAATATTATTTATATGGAATCAGCAAAATTTCATATGTTTTATGTCATAAGTTAAACATAAGAATTAAAAATGTGACTGAATCATCTTGAGGAGAATCTCTTTGTTTCTCAGGTGCTAGTGAATTATTTCTTTCTGAGGGAAAGTGGTCCCCTGAATGGAAGCCACTGAACTTGTTGGTGATGTATATTGATTCTGTACCTCTAGCAATCAGATTTCAGTTAAATTACTAAATGGCTGTCCAGGGAGATTCTTGGTCAAATTCCCTCTTGTGGGAGTTTAAATTGTTCTGAATTGCCATTATTTGTCTTAACACTCAATATACAATTAGCAACTTTTCCATTCTTATAGGGAACAAATGGGACTGGAAAGTAGGACTGCTTTCTCTTGTACCTAACTAAGTCACACTGTGTACATGTCTCTAAAGACAGTTTATACATATTGCAGTGAATGAAACATGTTCTACTGAAATATGCCTGTGGGAGGTTTCTCTCAGCCCAGAAATGGTGCCAGTTTGATGCACTGATGTTGTTCTTATGTTAGAGAGGGCCCTAACAATTAGACCTTCCTTCTATGAGGTAACAGAACTGCACTTGGCCACCATGTTTTCTGCCACCTATACTCTTTGAGGAAGTCATTCTGGCATGGGCAAAACTCTCTGGAGCCATTGTTTCTCTGCATGTCTCAGTCTCCACACCATAGACATTTGGGGCTGAAGAATTCTTTGTCATGGGGCACTGATTAGCAGCATTGCAGACATCTAGCCACTAGATCCCAGTGGCACCCCTACCCTTAGTGTGACAAAATGTCTCTTGACGTTGCCAAATGTGACTTGGGGGCGGGGGAAACAAAATTATCCCCCATTGAGAACCATTGAGCATTTTATTTCTGTTGGTGGAGAAAATGAAAGATTCAGGCATATTTAAGTTGAGGGAAGAAGAAATCGCACAAGAAGAGAGCTTAAGTCAGTGGGCACAAACTGAATACTGCTTAATGTTGTTTGGGGAAAAGAGTAAAGGGGCCATAGAGGCTCTTTAAGGAGCAAGTCAATCTTGTGACCTTCATTTTTGTCTTGTGAGATGGGCCAAGATGCCATTTTTTAAGTATTAGAAAACATATGATTTGGGCAGCGCCTGTAGGTCAGTGGGTAGGGCGCCAGCCCCATATACTGAGGGTGTTGGGTTTGAACCCGGCCCCGGCCAAAACTGCAACTTACCTGAAGGTCCATTCCAATTGAGTCCAAGAACCAATGGGAAGTGCAACACTTTAGGAGAAAACAGGTTGAAGATTGTATCTCAAAATGGAACAGATTTCTTAAGAAATAAAAATCAAAACTTTAAGGCACTGATAAATTTGAGCAAAATCTTGAAAATAAAAGATTTCTTTAATGTGCACCATCAAAATTATGAAAAGACAAGCTCTATGTATGAGATGATATTTATAGACCATATTAGATCTGTAAGAATTATGTCCAGAGTATATAATTTATAGAAAAACAAACAAGGAAAAAAGTGAACAATCTAATAGAAAAATGAATACCAATTGCATTTTTTAATTTCAGATTAATATGAAGGCGCAGATGATTGCATTACAATGTTGCATCTGTTAGGTAGAGTCTAAGTTGTAGTTGTGGCCCTTACCCAGGAAGTGTGCCATACATGGTGCCTGTTAGGTGAGAGCATGCCAAAACCTCCCCCTCCTCCCCAGTCCCTCCTACCTCCTCTCCTTTCCCCCTACTTGAGTTTAATAGTGTTTAGTGTTTTTCTCTTGTGTAAAAACTATGGTTAGAAGCCACAGAGTAGGTGCAATGCCTTAGGTGTATGCGTGTTGTTAGGCCCAAGGGCCTCTTCCATTCTTGTCAAGGGGCGTGCTAACCTTTTCTCCTTTCATATAATACCGAATACCAATTTCAAACACATGTCCCATAAAAGAGGATATCCAAAAACAGAGTGGGCTGATGGAAAGGCTGTCAACCTCGTTAGTAAATAGGGAAATGCAAACTAAACCCCCAAGTAGACATCACCACACATCTCAGGGGCTCCGAAGAAAACTCTTTCTCCTCCGTTATTTTCCTCCCATTCTCAAGTATTTGTGGGTATATGGATCAAGTCCACTTATTTTTCCTTTTTTTGCACCTGTTGGGTTGATTTAAAGAGTGATGTGACAAGTTCTCTCTCATTGGAAAAGACATTCATTCTATAAAGTATCTGCAAGACCTGGCCTCTTAAAGGGACTACACTCTAGTGACCACTGATATAAACACACTTATACTGCCTGCCATGAATTTGTCTTCTCTTTGCTCTTGTCACCGTCATAATATCCTGAATGTGAAACATCTAAGGAAGTTGCGGTGAAAGATGGAGTTCTCTGAGGCCCCTGGAGGGCGCTATGTGACCTGGCACTGCTCTTGCTCTGGGAAGCACCCCCAAAATCAGATCAGGAGAGAGGACTCTTCTTGCACTGTTACAGTGGCCTGAGCACCTTCAAGACCTCAAGACTCATGTCAGGCCTGGCAGCATTTCTTAAAGGCATGGAGCCTAGTCTTCTGACTTTGGGGCATAACGACTATGCTCAGGGACAGCAGGCAGGAGTGTGGCAGTGGGGCACAGGATGCAGGCATCTGGTGGAGGAGGGTGAGAAGGCATGAACCCCTTCAACAGGGACATACAACTTTGGCTTTAAGGCCTCTGTGAAGGTGTCCTTGAGGACGCTGCTCTAAGATCCCAGAAGGCTCTCTTTTCCTGGTCAGCCTGTCCTCTGAGGACTCTGTGGAGGAAGTTAGAGTGTACCTTACACTGGGGCCTAGCAGTTCCACTAGGCTTGCCTGGGGTGACAGCAAGAGCTGGTAGTGGGGACCTCTATTCTGCGGTGGGGGGACCTCTTAGTTAACATTAAGCATATTGTAACTATTGACAGGGCCTGGGCCAGTTCTCTTTGCTGTGCTCAAGTTGACACCTTGAACTTGGCCCTCACTTCCCTTGGATGCCCTAATAGGAAAGGAAAGGGCTCTTCAGCCAACTCATCCCCCTGCCAGCAGGCACCCTGTACTGACAACTCAGTGGGCATACGCTCTCTCTTCTCCTAGCTTGTTAGAGGTCTCTCTACTGTCTTCAGTCTAAAAGCCTCTGAACAAAGCTGTCACCTCCTTATTCCCTTAGAAGGGGAATTTGAGGCTTGCTGTACCTGGCTACCCCTGAGTGAGTCACCCAACACTGGCAAGGAGTGGAGCTGTCTCCCTCCCTTTAGGAGAGCAGTTCCCTAGATAGCACTCGGCTTCCTTACTGGACTCCAATCAGGGCCTAGGTCTCCTCCCTTTGTAGAATCCCATAGTTCAAATCCCTCACCTCTGAGACCTCCCAGGCAGAAATCAGCCCACAGCTCTGTCTACCTTCCCTTGGCTGAGAGCCGGCTTGGAGCACTGGGCAGTCTCTTTGATTATAGGAAGAGTGATCTCTTCAGTCCACATGCAGGGTCCTCACCTAGATAGCTGACCAGTCCTGGAACTCTTTCCTCCACTTTCCTTAATCCGCAGCCCTCAGATCTTTACCTTCCTGAAACCTCTGAGGGAAAGTCAGGGTGAGCCACATCTGGGCAAGGCTGTGCCGTCAGCTGATCTTTTACGTCCTTCCCATCCCAGCCAGACTTAGCTTATGATGTCACTTCAGTTCTAGAAGACTGACATGTCATAGGCAAGGAGTGGGGAAGTAGGATCATTTTGTGAGCCCCTGATCTTTTGAGGCAAACTGACATTGTATACATACGTAGATTATCATATTGCCAATAGTCTCTTTTGGCCTGGGATGGAGGCTTGTACCTCTAAACATAGCACTCTGAGAGGCCAAGGCAGGAGGATTGCTCAAGGTCAGGAGTTTGAGACCAGCCTGAGCAAGAGCAAGACCCGCCTCTACTAAAAATAGAAAAATTAGCAGGGTGTGGTGGCACATCTGTAGTCTGTAGCCCCAGCTACTCGGGAAGCTGAGCCTGAGCCAATAGGATCACTTGAGCCCAGGAGTTTGAGGTTGCTGTGAGCCATGATGATGCCACTGCATGGTAGCCAGGGTAACAGAGCAAGACAATGCCTCAAAAAAATAAATCTCATTTTTTTATACCATCCACTTATTTTGATATTCTCATTGCTCTGGCTATGTATTCCAAACCAATAGTTTGTGCATAGAGTCTTTTTTTTATTGCCTGAGCTAACTCTTGGAGTAGCAAAGAGAAATATGAATTATAACACACCAAATCCGCCTCAGGCTGGCAGGAAAGGGGTAGTGTTGGCTTTAGACAAACTCAGACCCCAAGGCTAACACCAGCCCTGCCACCAACCAGTAGTATGGACTCATGCACATTGGTAAATTCTGGGAGCCTCGGGTTTTTCATCTGGTGAAGCAGATAAGCCCTGCCTTCTAGGACTGATGGGTGTATGCAGTGGCTGTTGTGAACATAGTACAGTGCCTGGCAAGTATAAAGACTTTTTAAAATGACAATTATTTACTATGATTATTTGGATATCAGGCAATACTGTGTACCACACTGGGAATTTTTTTGAAATCCAGATGTTAGAGAATATGCAATGTCCCAGGACAAAGAAAACCACATCAGAAAAATAGTGCTTAGCAAATCAAATTAGTTACTTTCCCACTGTATGATCAGTCACTTCATGTGGGTGTGAAGTAGAATCCCATTAGGGCACCATGAAGCACCCAGAAGTTGTGTAGAGAACCAACCCCCCCCCAAGTTGTGCTTGCATTTAACCCATCACCGTCTTCATTCACTTTGCCACCACCCAAAATCTGCACCTTGTTTTGAGTTTGCCATATTATGCCAAATACCTAATTAGGATTCCCTTTTTTTTGGCAGTTTTTTTTTTTTTTTTTTGGCCGGGGCTGGGTTCGAACCCACCACCTCTGGCATATGGGGCCAGTGCCCTACTCCTTTGAGCCACAGGTGCCACCTTGGATTCCCTTTTAATGAAGCGCTCTGGCTCCCCCAGGCCAGGATGAAGAGGGCCAGCCAGTGGCTCAAGAATCCTGCCTTAAGGTAGGATTTTACTCTTGTTTCAGGAAATTTCTTACCCTCAGAAACTTCCTCACACCAAATGTGCACACTGCTTATTTAGAGCTCCGTGTGCACCTGCACAGGGACCCAGGGGGATTCCTCCCTGGCCCTCCATATCCCCCAGGAACTGTTAGGAGCAGTTTGCTGTTGCAGGTGTAGTCTCTCCACTCTGAAGTCACTATCTGACAGCCTGGATCCCACTTGTCATTTCAACAGCCTCATCTAGCTCTGGCTGTAGGCTAATTTAAAATTCCCTCCCACTGAGGGACTTCCCAGCAGCTCCCCTAGTTCCAGCCTGTCTTGTCTTAGGGTATCGACCGCTGGGCTGCCCCTACCTGGAATCTCCTCCCTCCTTACCCCTTTTTTTATTGCTCTTCAGGTCTTATAGTGCACCTCCCCGTTTTTGACATAATAGTTACTCATGGACTTAAAAATGCAGGGGCTGGGCCGCCTCTGTCCACACGTTCCCAGAATAAGCAAGGAGCCTTTTAAAGAGGAGATGCCCAATTCATGTTTGGGGAACAAAAGAACCAGTGAACAAGAGCTCTCAATTTATGACGCTTTAATTTCTCCAACATTCTTGAATAAGCTAAGCAAAGTAAGGTATACATATATCTTCTAATTTTAACAAAAGAAAAGAATAGCGGGAATAAGAAAAAACAAGAATTGGCTACTTTTTTTTCTCCCCACCAGCTTACAACTCCAGCTGTTTTACTCTGGGGTTCTTTCAGGTGGTAAAGCAAACCCCTATTCCAATGTTATTTTTCTTGTACTCGATCTCAATAAAAGCAGCAAGCATTTTCAGTTGGTTTTACAAAATGCCAAACTATTACTCAAAGTTGATAAACAGCTGTGTGATCTGTGCCATTCCTAAACTTCAACTATGAATCTAAGTAAGCCTCTTTAAAAGGAATACATTGCAAAAGCAGAAAAAAGATAAATCTACAAGTTACATCTGAATTGTAGGAATGAACAAAAGACATATATTGTGCTCTGTCCAGCCTCAACTCACATACTACTACCTAGAAGGTTGACAGCCCTTTCCAACTTCAAAGTGAAGGCTACCTCAGACTTCCCTAGGGCTGGGAGGATTTAGATGTGGCCTTGGAGTGGGTGATGGCTTGGGCAGTGGCACTGGTGCTGGCCTGGGCGGTAGTGCTGGTGCTGGCTTGGGCGGTAGTGCTGGTGCTGGCTTGGATGGTGGTGCTGGTGCTGGCTCCGGCAGTAGTGTCGGTGCTGGCTTGGATGGTGGTGCTGGTGCTGGCCTGGGCGGTAGTGCTGGTGCTGGTTTGGGCGGTAGTGTTGGTGCTGGCTTGGATGGTGGTGCTGGTGCTGGCTCTGGCGGTAGCGCTGGTGCTGGCCTGGGCAGTAGTGCTGGTGGTAGCTTGAGCAGTGGCACTGGTGCTGACCTGGGCAGTAGTGCTGGTGCTGGCCCGGGCAGTGGCGCTGGTGCTGGCCCGGGCAGTAGTGCTGGTGCTGGCCCGGGCGGTGGCACTGGTGCTGACCCGGGCAGTGGCACTGGTGCTGGCCCGGGCAGTGGCACTGGTGCTGGCCCGGGCAGTGGCACTGGTGCTGGCCTGGGCAGTGGCACGAGCCCCAGCTGTAATACTCACTCGGGCTCGCGCTTCCTCATCTCTCAAAGCCTCCTCATACCGGGACTGGAAGGAACTGGGAACGGTATTATTGACCTTGGCCAAAAACTCCAGGACTTTCATTTTGCTCGTTTCAGCATGGGCTTTTGCACCCCATAGGAACTCATAGCGTGGAGGATCACTGCCGGGCACCTGTTGGTACTCCAGGTACTTTTCCTGCACTAAATCTTTGGTGATGAGCTGCCTGGGCTCCCCAAAGATGAAGTGCTTAATGCCATCATATATCCCCAACACATTCAGGAATTCCCACATCTCTTCCTCAGAGGCACGGTTGCCATTCATGAAGATCACACTTAGAAGAGGCATCAGGAGCCCATTCTTGGGGAAGCCCCTGCCATCGCTCTGGCCCACTTCACTGGTAAGGCTGAGCTTGCCGGAGAGCTCAAAGTAGCGACCTTTGGGGTCAACTTCTTTCAGCTCCAGGCCAAACACCAGCTCCATGCGCTCAGTGGTTTTCCGCAGGATTTCTGGGAAGTGCTCTCTGAACTTTTTGTTCATAAGCTTCAGCATGTCTGACCTCCGGATGGGCTCTTTCATCTTGTACTTTTCTAGCAGAAACTGCACCAACATGCCCGTCTTCCTGGTCAGAGGATCATTCCCTAAGCTCTGAGGTAGAGCACTGGAGGTGCTTGGACGCTCTTCATCTTGGCTCTTGGCACCTGAGCGGGTGGATCGGCCTTTCCCAGACTTCCCAGGACCGCTTGCAGCAGGGGTGCTCTGGGAAGCACCCTTGTTAATAGCAGAGGAAGAGGATGGTATCTCTTTTCCCTCTGCTGCAAAGGCCTGAGCAACACTGAGATCTTGGGGCTCACTTCGAGCCTGGCGGCGTTTCTCACGAGCACGGAGCTTACTCTTCTGACCACGAGGCATGATGACTATGCTTAGGGACAGCAGGCAAGAGGCCACAGGATGCAGGCACCTGGAAGAGGAAGACAAGCGGGTGTGAGCCCCTTCAGCAAGAAGGTATCACCTTGGCTTTAAAAGGTCCTGTGTGAGTGTCTTTGAGGACACTCCTGTGTGAGTGTCTTGAGGAGGATCCCAAAGTCCTCCCCTTCTCCTGGTCAGCTCGTGCTTTGAAGACCTTGTGCAGGAAGTCAGAGTGCACCTTTAGCTGCAGCCTGCCAGTCCCACTGGACACTACTCTTTTCCTACTAAGACCCTCATTTCTCTGTTTCCTCTAAGATGGGATTGAGGGGGCCTCTGCCTGGCATCTATGTCTGAGGCCCCTCAGGATTGAAAATGTAAGGGATTCTGAGGTGCCCCTAATATGGGGCAGATGGTCCCCACTCTTCAGGGTCCTCACTGTGACTCCTGGCCCAACATATAAATTAATTTCTGCTCATCTAAGGCACCTCCCATCAGGTCAGGGTTCTCACCTTCCTGAGAGCCCCCCCTTAAAGCAAAAAAAAAGCATGAGTCACCTCCAGCCACCTCCGTTCATGGCCTTATTGGGTTCACCCCCACAGTTCGGTTATGGGGTGAATGAGGATCCTCACTGCGACTCCTAGCAAGAGCTTAAAAACCTCCATCAGCTGACTTAAGGCTGGTTCATCATTTCCCTGAGATGCTCTGGGAGTAAATGATGCTACTCATCTGTCAACATGCCTGGGTCTCCCAGGTGCAACAGCAGGGCGGGAGGGGCCTCCATGTGGCTCACACACATCCCACTCAGTGTTCTCACCTCAATCCCTATTAGGAACTAATCGTCCTCCTTCTGTTGAATGGGGCCTCACCCCTCAGTGCAAAGGCTCTAACTCTCTGAAATACCAATGTCCCATCAGGAAGTGAGGGGTTATCTCAGCTCTGCCCATGATTTCCCAGGGCTGAGAGCAGAGATGAGACTTTATACAACCTCCTCTGTTCTGGAGTGGTTGTTTTTCTCATACCTTTTTTTTTTTCCAGAATTTTTTTTTTTTTATAGTTTTTGGCTGGGGCTGCATTTGAACCTACCCTACCCCTTTGAGCCACAGGTGCCGCCCTCATTCCTCATACTTTTACCTTTACTCCCAACAGAGCCTGGGACTCCTCTCTCTGCTGATCTGGGGCTACCAGTCCTTAAACCAAGGCCCTTATCTATTGAAACCCTGCAGCTTGAAGTCAGGGGGCACCTGAGTCTGTCAGCCCTGGCCTGGGCCTCCCAAAGTGAGTCTTGGTGCAACCCTCTCAATTGGGGGCTGAGAGGCCCTCATTTCCTAACTCAGGATCATTATCTCCATACCTGACCAGTCCTGGGACTCCATCCTTAACTAAGGTGACCAGATGTCCCACTTTTGAACAATTTGTCCCCATCCCACGGCATTTTAAAAAAGTTCTGATTTTTGGAAAAAATGCACAACAAGCTAGGGAACGGGGGTGGGGGGGAACATTAGGATGGATCGGCTGCTGAAAAAGTTAATATAACTCCATTTGGGAATGAATAGGTTAATATAACTTCATTTGGAAATGAAAAGGCTAATGTAAATTCCCTACTCCCCTCCTGGGCAAGGTCGCCCAGGTGGAATCAGTATCAGAAGGAGACTGGCTCCCTCCCTCGCTTCTAGGCAAGGACAATTAGCTCAGAAGGAGCCAAACTGTCTGGAACAAACAAGTAGCATCCCCCTCTCTAGAGGGTCCCTAACCATAAACAGCTCAGCCAATAGTAGCCCGGCCCAACAAAACACCCGATGAAATTCCTCTATGCACTTAAAAACCTCAGCTCGCTTCACTAAGGGGTCATCCTTCCTCCAGCCACACTGAAGGGAAGAGTGGCCCAAGCATATGCTTGCAAAATAAAGCACTTTTTGTCTTTACATGTGTGTGGTGGTCTCTCAGCGGCAATTCTGGTCCCAACACTGCCATGTGGCTATTTCACCAGGATATGAGTTTTATATTATTTTGTTAATTTTATAATGTTAAACTTTAATAATAACAAATAATTGTTGAGAACTGATTATCAAGAACTGCTTATCAAAGTTCCCATTGTTGATCAGTTGTTAGAATTCGACCACCATTGTTTGGACTTAATGAACAATGGCATTTTTTGGCAATGCAACCATGAAAACATTTTGTAACTGTCTCTCAGACGATACACATTGTACTGCGTGCTAGTGCTAGTTAAACAAGTGATGTCAACAAATCAGCTATTCAAATAATTTAGGTAAGTAATTTATTTCATGAATTTATCAGACAGTACTCATATTATTTATATTTTATAGTGGCAGCAAAAAGTCTAGCACCAGCCTTGAAAGTGACACTTAGGACTTACGATGTATCATTATTAAAAAAAATATATTGATAAGGAAAAGGTTAACTGTTGGGCATCAGCAAAAATCACAATAGAGAACAAATGTTTAGAAATATTTCATCATTTTGAAACAAACCATGTTCCATACAATAATGCACTAAAAATTGTGGGATATGCGCTGTCTTTACCAGGAACTAATGCTGTGACTGAACGCATTCTTTCTACCGTAAATAAAGTGTGGACATCAGAAAAATCACAATTAAGTGTTGAGACTTTGAAAGCCATTTTATATGTGAAATATAATTTAACAAATTCTTGTGAAAAAATTTCATGACCTTTTAAACAACGACAGCAATCTACTAAAAAAAAAATTCACTCAAATGAGAAATATGCCAAAGAATAAAATAATACTATACATAATTTTTTTTTTTTTTTTGACCAGGGCTGGGTTTGAACCTGCCACCTCTGGCCTATGGGGCTGGCACCCTACTCCTTTGACCACAGGCATCACCCTATACATAATTTTTTTTTTTTTTGAGACAGAGCCTCAAGCTGTCCCCCTGGGTAGAGTGCTGTGGCATTACAGCTCACAGCAACCTCCAA